AGAGAGAGACGTATTGTTGAAGTTAACGTTCGTTGTTATGGCGTTTGTTATAGCGCGGTTGTTGAAAACAAGTGTATCGTAAAGTTATATTCGGAAAGAATAAACCAGTTTTATTAAGTAAATTCTTGTGTCGCTAAAGTTTCGTCGGAACGAAGTTACGGGAAGTTAATTAACAAACGGAGACGTAACAATACAATAGTTAAATCATCGTCAATTTCACACTGAACATTAGCGTAATTGGTTCAACTCTGTATATGTCTCCTTTCTGATTGGCTGAGATGTTTTATCTACACTTTACGAACAATGATGTTTTTGAAATATTGATTTGAACCTGAAAAATGTTTTGTAAAGAAAAAATATGCAAACACAGACAGTAGCATACGAAATTATTTTTATAGGGGTGGAGACTTTCAACGAATTTGAAACTACAAACACAGACAGTAGCATACGAAATTATTTTTATCGGGGTGGAGACTTTCAACGAATTTGAAACTGTCAGATATCACTTAAATATGAAGGGTATTGTCACTGAGTAACTAGTAGTAATAAGGAAATAAACTTGTTTTTATATTTTTTATAAATGAAAATTCAGAATCTCTAAATGGAAATTCCGTTGTTGTTTTGGTTACGATAAGAATTCCTCTACTTGACGGTTGTTGCTGTTCTCCTGCTAGCTCCCTCTACAGAAATCTAGCTTCTCTGGTTTCTGCGCCCCTGAACGTAGGATATAATCTTCTGTTTATAACAAACTATACTTTTGACCAGTAGATGTCGCCACAATAGCCAAACAGAAAGTTTTTCTCGGGAAGAAAAAATGGTTATAAGCTTACTTCAACCTTACAAACAGATGTTTCTCTATAAATTTAAGCATGAAAAATGGGCGAGTAAATTACGTTCCAAAGACCAGGCAGTATATATCTTGAATGACTCGGGCTAATCGCTGTCTAGTGGTACTATGAATGATAGCTAATACGAAACAGCCCGTATCCAAGTCCTAACATTCTGTAGTGAAAACAGAGTGCTATTATTTATAATAATAATAAAAAAACACGCACGTTAATAAGAAAAAAAAGAAGAAGAAAAAAGTGAAGATTTTAAGTACCTTAAATTCGTCACGTTGTTCAAGGATAACCTTCACTTGCTCTTCGTATTCCGGCACTACCGTGACAACTTTGTGGCTATCAAAAATTAACATAATAAATTAACATAATACATAAATTAACATAATACATTAGTAGCTATGTCGGAGAAAAAGTTGATAAACACTTTTAAGATTTATGTACGATTCATTAAGTGTTAATAATTTTAGGCTTTAATCAGAATGTGATAAATTAAATTAATTTAAAAAGTACAAACTAATTTATTATCGAATTCCGTTATTCAGTGTTGGACACAGAATTACTGAAATCCACCAAACGTTAACCCCCCCCCCCCCAAAAAAAAAAACCCAATGCATGGGATCACAAACAGCATGATTCATATGTCTCTAAGCTTGTGTTTCATCGAAATTTGGAAAGGCACATAACTGCTAGTGAGTTACACGTATTACTACGCGAAAAAAAAACAACAAAAAAACTGCTAGAAACTCATATATGATGATTCAAATCAGATTCACTCATAACGGACAATCAATGCACGCCTGTCAGAGGTTTCAGTTTTGATGTTATTTTTAGTAAACACGCAAGCAATATATACGCACGTGCTCATAATTACAGGGCTGCACAGTTAAGATTACCACATAAACCCTTTTTGTACTGCTCTAGGTACATCAAATCACACATTACTACATGCAAGAATTATAAACACAGCATTCATATTTTTAACGCACTATATAACTGGTGTAGTAAAAAATCGAAACTTTTGTGTATAATATCAAATTGCACGTTACATTTACGCAAGCACCTGCATAAAACACCAAGAGACAGGAGGAACTGTATTGAATTAATACATTATATAAAGTAATATATGTATATATTTGTGTGTATCTTCTATTTTACATTTATTTTGTACAAGGTCGGGCGTGGCCTAGGGTTCAACGTGCCATACTTTGGGGTTGTGAGTGCGTTATAAGAATGAAGGTCAAATCTCATTTTTCGATCAGATAAGAGTAGTGCAAAAGTTGGCGGTAGGTACTGCTGATTAGTTGTTAAGTCAGTTGAAAATTAGGGAAGACTAGCGCAGATAGCCTTTGTATAGCTTTGCGTGAATTTCCGAAACAAAAACTATCTGTATCAATTCCCTAATAGACTTTTAAACTATTCTCATTTTAAAACTTTTTAACAGCAACATCAGTGTTACATATTTTTGTTTTGGCCCGGCATGGCCAGGTTGTTAGGGCGCTCGACTCGCAATCTGAGGGTCGCGGGTTCGAATCCCCTCTCACACCAAACATGCTCGCTCTTTCAGCCGTGGAGGCGTTATAACGTGACGGTCAATCCCACTATTCGTTGGTAAAAGATTAGCCCAAGAGTTGACGGTGGGTGGTGATGAGTAGCTGCCCTCCCTCTAGTCTTACACTGCTAAATTAGGAATGGCTAGCGCAGATAGCCCTCGTGTAGCTTTACGCGAAGTTCAAAACAAACATATTTGTTTACTTGTGCGATATTTCTATACCGTATGGGTTAATTTTTGCGGCATAGTTTGATAGCATCTTTATCCTCTAGGAATTAAAAGTTTCACGGTTTTTAATTCTATCTAATTTCTAACAACATGGAATCCTCAATAGCCGCGGCACTTGAAATTCTTTTAGGCACAATTAGAGTAAATTAATCTATGAGACCTTTTCTTCTTCTTTTTATTAGCTATATTTTTGTGCGCCAGCAATACCAAGCGTGGGGGGGGGGGCATGTATACCCCATTCGATTTTATTACTCACCAGGATTTCTACCAGCCTATCCTCAATTTGAAATTATTTAAGGCAGGATTAGAGTAAATTAATCCATGAGACCTTGAGCGTGGTCAAATACATCAATCGAAAGGGTTTGACATCCTGAGTCCAAAACTATCAAGAGATGACGAAGCTATGAGCTAAAAGTTTGTACTTGGAAAACAACAACAACTCAGAACCGTTCTATGAGCCGCTGCTAAAAATTTATTTCATTTCACTTAAAAAAAGATTTTTTAAAATTCAGCTACAGCGACAGATCCTTCGTAAGACAATTGGTAAAAGTGAGATAAGCCTTGTTTTCTAGTTCTTTTAATAACGAAGGTGTTAATTCAAGAAAATAATTAACAATATATGATGTTTAAATAAACAAATCTTATAGTGTTAAAATATCATTATCTTAATTTTGATTTGTAGTGGTCTAAATAGAATTCATAAAAATTATACTACATCAACGTAATCTAGTTCACACCGAAACAGTTGTTGTTCACGCACTTTGATGATATAAATAGCATTCCCAGCCTCTACTATGGCTGTTGTATCCCAGCTGGCATGAACGAAAACATTCGTCGGGATTGGGTATGTCAGATATAGTATGGTTAATAGTGTTACGACAGC